TGCACCTGTGCGATCACGATATGCGATGCATAGCCACGCGGGTGTGCGATGCACGTGTCGTACCAGGTAAGATTCCGTGCATCTCGAATAGACACAGTCTGGACAGCGCCAAACCGAGCCGCATGAAAAGCTCAACAGGATACCTTAATCAGTCAACCAATCACCCTGCTAATTGAACCATCCAACCAACCAATCCACCAATCCACGAGTTCAAGGGTATTCCGCGCACCCCCATTCTACGTTCTTGATTTCTTCTCTTCGCTCCAGGCGCATATAAGTCTGTCTGCTTCTTGGTTTTCCCTGTGGTTTTGGACCATTCAAACAAGCGTGCGGTAAGCGGCGGATGTGAAAGGAACCCTCCCCACAAGTAGCTGCTTCAACCCCGCTATACGGCATAACTCAGTTAGCAACCCTCGGGCAGCCTCAAGCCCTTTTTGCTCCACCCTGGGTTCACGAGTGGTCGGAAACAATAAGATTTGGAAATAAAGGACAACGGCCCTGCGTTCCTCCTCGGTAGGCCTTGACGTCGCTTCCGGGGAGTGGGGGTGAGCATCCACCCGTGCCCCCGCCCCACCCTCCGTGGCCTCTCCCCTGTGCTCTCCCCTCTGCTCGCGTTCGTCTGTCGGAGCCCCGTGTCCTTCCGCCAGTTGCATAACGACAAACAGGACTGCTGCACCCTGACTGCCCCTTTCTTCGCCATTGCGTAATTTATTGGAGACACGCTACATGTACATGTACTCTAGACTACTGTAAGAAGCCCAACAAGGCACCTACTACGTAGCTGTATCAGGCTGTTGGGGGGGAGGGGGAGTGTACTCATAGTCGTGCATGCCGTAGTCGTTAGACCATTGACCTCGCATCCCGACAAAGCCGGGACGGAGCACGTCGGGTTCTAACCGGACCAGGCTCTCAAATCACCAAGCGCGCCATGAGGTATTCGGCGAGTCGCATGACGAGTGCGCTGCATCCTACTTCGGGTGTTCGGCATCTTGTGCGTACTTCCTTGCGTACGGATGACGGCTGCGTATGACGAAATTTAATTTCGGGTGCTTTCACTCCCAGAGACAGTTGCAAGCGCTCTGAAATTACCTCGAGGGTGCTTGACCAATTGATCACACCGTGCGATTATCCTCTTTGCGCGGAGTGCGGGTTCTTGACCCCGCACAACGTAATCTACCCGACCACCATTCATGGTTACCACAAAAGATAAAATCGAGGGCAAAAAAGATGCGGTAACCTGGTTGCAGGGCTCACGAAGTGCTCGGCTTGTTTTTCAACATCGCTACCAAGCGACGAAAACCCAACCCGTTGAACACACTGGGGTTGGCGGCTTGTTTCACAACGTCGTTGCCAAGCGACGAAAACCCAACCCCGTCGACAGACAGAGGGGGAGGCCGGAGGGGGGAGTATTTGAGTATAAAATGGCCCAAACGGCGTATGCATGCGAGGTTGAGGGCGGGATGGTTTTCCCGTTATAATATAGTCATAATCGCCATTCCTGCTCGCGGAATATGAGCACGAGGACCGCAATCTATGCGGTAAATCATGCTGGGAGGGATCCTACAATAGCACTCGCTGCCCGGTAGCGGAGAACCTGCGCGTGGTGGAGTACACCGAGCGGAGGTGGGACTGCCATTTTTTAGCGAGGTTATCCGTTACCCGAAGCCATCGTTTCCCGCTCTCTGCCACATGCCCTCTTCTGCTTTGTCGCCGGCATGCTACCAATTTGCTATTCGCGTTCCACGACGTCGACAGCCACATGTACGTTGCGAAAAGCGCCTGCACAATAAATGGTGGTGCGTCCTACCTGCCGGTGAATGTGCAGCCTCTCAACAACTATGAGGGGTCAACGACGGTCAAAGCGATCGCCAGGTGAGCTGGACTGGTATTGCCCGCTAATTGGTGGTGCCATTTGTTTTCGCTGGCGCTGCTGTGTTTTCCCTGCCGTGTTGTTTTCATCCACCTCGCCACTGTTGTCGCGTGCACTGACTCACGGTTTGTTGGTATCCATCGTGAACCTTGGCCGAATCAAGATTTCCGTTGATGGCGCAGGCTTGCTGTGGACGGTAAGCTAAGGGGCGGGGGCCCACGAGGGCGAACATGTTACTCTTCCGCCCTAGACACAAACATGTTCGATAAACCTTGGAAATAGGAGGCAATTATTCGTGCGAGTTTCAACCCAAAGAAGGCGGTATTGCAAGTCGCTCGTGTCCTGGGGTACGATATCGGTAGTGGCGTGTGTGAAACTGCTGGCGATGCTGCTTGCGCTGTTGTCGATGACCCCGCTCTAGACCTGGGGGAACGAGCGGCAATAATCGCAACAGTCCGTTCGAGATGGGCAACAAGGAACTCTTGGACCTAGCCCTCGGCTTCGGCAATAGTGATTGTGTCTTGCTGTGTGTTGGTCGCGTTTGGCGAGACAGGCGGTGTGCGTGAGAATTGTCCTGTTGGAATGGGAGGCGAGAAGGTCATCGAGCTAGCCCTCCGCTGTGTGAGAGTCATGCTGCCGTACGTTGTGGTCGCCCAAAACGGCCTCTCGATTGGCGTGCGGGTAGCAGGTGTTGCTCGTCGAGGCTGCTCCTGTTGGCGTCACTTACCCGTCTTCCCCCGTCTTGTTTCTAGGAGGTCGCTGTAGAGCCCGCTCTAGGGTTTCAGGAACAAACGCTTGTCGTGCACAACGGACCTTTCGAGATGGGTGGCGACGACATGTGGTCACCTATCCTTGCCGCCCATCTCGAATGGTACGTCGTGTAGTACCACAAGCGCTTGTCCATGGTACCCCGGATCGGGCTCGGCAGCGACGTCCTAATACTGAGACGGGGTAGCACGAATACGTGACGCCAACAGGAGCAGCCGCTACAGTCAGCAGTAGCGCAAGGCCATTAATTTAATATGTGACCGCCTGTTGATGCATTCCGCAGTGTTGCTTATGCCCCTGGTTATTGTTGACACAATTTCATCATCATAGGAAAACGGCCAACCACCCAAAAAAGTGCTGGAAGTTCAAAGAACTACAGTAATCGATCAATCACGGTGGCTTTGGGAAAAAAGAATGCGAAGCAGGGCACATGGAAACAATTTGATTCGATTCTCGGATCAAGCAGTCAACTCCCTCCAGCCCACCGTTCGTACAGGTGATGCTGATGCTGCCGTGTCATGGATCCACCTTACAACAGTAGATACTGCTGCCTAGAGCGTCTTGCGCACGGCAACGAGACGAAAGGTGTTTTCCACTGCGGCTATACTGCTGCAGTATCTTCCGGTGTAGATCGCCACCGTTCTTACACCCTCTGGTATGTATCCAGAGTATCGTGTGCCCTGTGTGCAATGGACAGGAGGTGTACATTCTGCAGATTGTGCCGTGCGGCCTCCGCGTGTGTGTGCTTTCGCCTGCGAATCGTGTCATTATCTGCAAGTGTTGATGCCGTCCAACTTGCATCCATTTGCACATCGCATCTTGTCGTTTCATGTATGTGTACGGTATCGACCGTACAACGACTTACACCACCCACAATATTCTACACCTTCTCGCCTCTGTTGCACCGTAGCTCTGACGACTGTTCTCAATGGGTTCTGCCATCCATATCGACCTTGAACATTTCAAAGTTTCTGACGCTGATGTTCATGTACTATCCGGTCGACGGTGCTGCAGTTCCATGTAGGGGCCATATCATTTTTCCGGTTGTTGTTTTGTCGACGCTCTCTTCGGCGTCTCTATCGTTGCCGCACCGTCTCCATCTCCACATCCATGCGTTGTTTTGGTCGGGGTGTGCCTGCCTCTGTTTCTCGCCGTTACTTGATTTTGGACGCTGCTCTCGCATCGTTGTTCCCTCATCCTCGCGCGGAACATACCAGTGAACGGACTCACCGCCAGCCGCAAGAGGCAGACTGGACCCAGGCACCGTGTGGTGGGGCAGGACGTGGGGAAGGGAAAGGTGGAGCGAGTGGAAGATAAGGTCGTGGTGGGGAAGAAGGGGAGGATGGTCATGCTGGAAGTCACCCAGAAGCCACAGCAACAACGGCAGCAGCAGCAGCAGCAGGAGCAGCAGCAGCAGCAGCAGCAGAAGAGGCACGTGTCAGCTTCGCTGCAGGAGCAGCCGCCAACGCCGAGGTGAGAGTAGTGTGAGAACACTGTCAACCACGTATCACATTTCTTGGCCGAAATCGGTTGTTCAATTGATGGCTTTGATACGTACGCAAGACCGCAGATGCGTCGAAAACACGCAAGTCTTTGTCGGAAACAACATCGAGATTGCCCAGAGCGTTTGGGATCGATGAGTAAAATTTCGTTTATTTTCCCGCCGATTCGTCCTCCTCGGCTTCGCTTTGCCTTTTCCAAGTTCGCTCTTGTGCGCGAACCACTGTACTTGGAGTTGTAGATCGAGGTGCAAGCCTCATCAAACGTTTGGTCTGACACTTGGCCATTTGGGAAAAAATCCAGTTACGACCCATTTGCTCGTCCCATTTTCTACCAATAAACCACAGTTTTTGCCGCGGCATCGCAATCACCCCAACCCTGACCTCCTCCAGAAACACCGTTCCGCCCCTCCAAAGGGGCACTCGCTGCAACACGGCGAGTGCACCCTTTCTGCACAGATATCCTTTGCTTTCTGAGCCCCCAGCACGGTCCCTCCCTTTCGCAAAGCTTCGAAACAATCATGAGAAAATTGAAAAAAAAGTGACGAGCATTGACGCCCGCGATTCATGTTCCTCACTTTCATGTAGTGTTGCGGAACCTTGACGTCAAGCAGATGGGATGGGCACAACCTGCTCGGCGGCCTTTCGAGGCTTGCCATAGTGTCCACGAAAATGGGGTACGTGTGTGCACATGCATCAGTAATAGCGCCCTCAATCATTCGTCATTTTTTCTCGTGCTGCTGCGAGACTTACATACGGTCGTGTGAGGTTCCAATAACCAATACGGGAAAGCTAAGGGAAGGATGCACCAAGCTAGCTGCCGTGACTGACTTCCTTGTGTGGTACAACCTTTGGTGCGACACATGCAACGTTCGCTGCACCCTGCTCGTGCCAGGGTGTCGATCAAGCTCACCTCGGCAGCCCGCAGAAACGCGAGGACGCCAGCTGAAGTTGCCAAGGCTTCGGCCGCGCCCGTACCGGCGTCGACGATTCTGCGGGGCCCCTTGGTCGCGCACCGGGAGAGCGGTATGCGCAACGTCAACAGCGACCACGGGAGCGACAAAGACGACTACAGCTCCCTTGAGGACGACTTCACCTTTGATGGCGACGATTTCGAGGGCTCATCGAGCTCACCCACGGCGTGCCCGTTGAAGGCTGCAGTAGAAGCAACAGAGCTTGCTCAGAACGCCAGGGATGAGCTTTGCCTAGCGGAACTCGTAACGGAGAAGAGGAAAGATATGGTTGATGAGAAAATGCGGGATACCGATGTGGCGTGGGTGCAACAGCTTTCCGTCAAAGCCATGAACGCAGTCACTGCGGCATCGAACATGACTTCCGGCGCTGCTGCTGTCATGTATACAGCGAATAACGGGGACCCCAGAAGTCAGGCGATGGGTTCAACGGCGGCGGTGACGGCGGCGGGAACGTGCTCGACGTCGGCCCCTTCCAGTACGCCTCAACGGCAGAGATGGGAGCGTATCAACCGGAACGCCAACGCATCTGCCGCAACCCCCCCCGCGGGAACTTCTCAGCCAGGAGAACGGGGGACCACCACCACAGCAGGTACTGGGCCAGATGTCACTCCGTTGTGGTGGAACACGTGGTACACACACTAAGATGGGACAGGCAGTGTTTCCGCCTGTCTGTATGTTTGGCATCTTGCCTGTTCCCAGGGTCGTCGCCGAGATACCTGGTTTTGATGCAATCACAAGAACAGTTTGATTTTTGTCGCTGAAACAAGCCTCCCTCAACGTCAATAGCGCCAGCAAAGGATTCGTTCGAGTTCAGTGTGAGGTGATGGTGCAGACCGGCCGTGTACGTGTAGAAACAGCAGGATATCGTATCCGCGTGGGCGAACGGCTGCCACCCAGAAACACTGTAAGTCTTATGGATATTATTTCTGAACCCTCCATCAACAGAAGACAAGTGCGTCCAGTGCTGATTTGAATGAGCATAACTCTTGTCGTCGAGCCGACTCTAACAAGTGCCTGTCTCCCCTCACTCTCCGCCCTCTTGCGCTTGTTCCACTACATTACCTATCTCCATCCTGCACTAAGTCATGGAAGTGCACAAGAGGCGCGGTATCAACGCCACCGCCACGATGGCCTTCGCTGCCAAGCCCCCTCCAGCCAGAAACGTGTCTTCCGACGAAGGTGAGGCAGCAATGGCGATGGCGGCTTTGGCACAACAGCCAGCGCTGCCTCCCAGAGAAACGGAGGCCATGAGGCCGATTGTTGGTTCAGTGGAAACTAAGACCGTTAAAGCTGGCTTCTCGCACCGCAAGGAAGACGGTTCAGCAGGCTCCCCAACCGAGGCGGAAGCGTCGGCCGTTGGGGTTGCAGCCATCGGCTCAGCTCCCTGGGGTGTGCCCCCCGCACCGGCTGCTCTGCCTGTGACGGCATCTGCGCCTGCAGCCGGCACGGGGATGGCGATGGAAGTGGAGGAGCCACATTCGACGGAGTCAGCGGTGGCATGTATCGGAGCAACTCCCTGGGTCATGCCCCCCGCACCGGCTGGTCTGCCCGTACCAGCATCTGCGCCTGCGGGTGACCCGGAGACAGCGATAGTCGAGGATCAGGCTTGCCAGATGACGGCGGCGGCAGCCCCAATAGCCAACACCGCAACTCCATGGGTTATGCCCCCCGCGCCGGCTGCTCTGGCTGTGCCGGTCGCTGTGCCTGCCGTCGGTGAAATATCGGCTATGGATCAAGAGCAGGCTGGCAAGTCGACGGCGGCGGCAGCCTTATTCGCCATGCCCACGACTCCCTGGGCCATGCCCCCAGCCCCGGCTGCTCTGGCTGTGCCGGCCGCTCTACCTGCCGTCGGTGGAATATCGGCTATGGATCAAGAGCAGGCTAGCAAGTCGATTGCGGCGGCAGATGTACAGGCCATGCCCGCAACTCCCTCGACTATGTCCCCAGCCCCGGCTGCTCTGCCTGCGCCAGCCGCTGTACCTGCCGTCAGCGTGGGCTCGGCGATGGAGGAGAACCAGGCCCGTTCCACGGAATCAGCGGTAGTAGCCATGCCCGCAACTCCATAGGCTGTGTCCGCTGCCCCGGCTGCTCTGCCCGTACCGGCATCTGCGCCTGCGGGTGACTGGGAGATGGCGATGGATGAGGGGCAGGCACTAAAGACGGCGGCCGCGTCGGCGTTGGTAGCCATGACCGCTACTCCCTCGGCTATGCCCCGTGAGCTGGCCGCTGTGCCTGCTGTCGGTGGGATCTCGGCGATGGATGAGCAGCGGCCTTGTAAGACGGCGGCGGCGGCAGCGTCAGCGACAGCGGTCAAAACCGCAGCTACATGGTCCATGGCCCCTCTACTGGCCGCTCTGGCTGTTCCGGGAGAGCACGCCGGTGAGCAGGATGGGGCGACAGGGGTGCCAGAAAGCGAGAATGAGGAAGAGGAATTGGAAGAGGGAGCGATTCGACTCGAGCGCAAGACTTTTATTGAGGTTACGAAAAGGTGGGTGTCAACACTCGGTTATACACCACCAGAATCTGCAGCTGCCTTTGCAGCTGCAAAAGCAGGGGCAGCAGCGACAGCAGCAGCAGCGCAGACAAAAGCTGCAAAAGCAGGGGCAGCAGCAGGAGCAGCAACAGCAGCAAGGGCAGCAGAAACAACAACAGCAGTAGCAGCAACAGCAGCAGCAATGACGAAGGCGAGGTCGCCTGCGACGGCGACGTTTCTCGAGCCAGGGGCACTTCTGGCTAGCGCTCGAGCATCAGAGGAGATTCTAACACCCACTACGGCGGTCCTGCAGACGGTTAAACCAAGCCCGGCGGTCGGAAAAACCGTTGATGCACCTCCGATGGTCGAGTCGATTGGACAGGAGGCCCAGGGCGAGCCAAACCGATCCCTGGGGGTAGGCAACAGCGAACATGGTGGCGTCGGCCGAATGGCTGAACATAACGACACAGTATCTCCGCTCGGGTTGTCGCCCCCCGCCCCTTCAAAGATCCACCAAACGGCGGTAGCAGTGGCCGAGTCGTTGGTGGCCAAGACCGAGGAACAAGTGCCGTTGTTGGGGCTTGCCGAGACCTCTTCCAGCCCATCAGACCCCACGTGCGCACCGGTAACGGCGACGACGGTAGCGGATCCAGCCTACGGAGTGACTACCAAAGGGTTCACCACCTTTTCTCAGGGCGCTGCTCTTGACGAGAAGGCCCCCACCTCTGCCTCCACCTCATCGAGGGATACCGCTCAGCTGCTCCTTCTGAGAGACAGAGCGGTGCTGCGGGAACGGAAGAGGGCGGAGATGAAGGTTTCGTCGAGATCGGCTCTGTTGACCATGACCTCCTCTGCCAGAGCAGCAGCGGCGAGGACGAGGACCCGCGCTCGTTTCTCCCGGCAAGCCAGGGCCGCCCGCAAGGCGCTTCGGTGAGAGGACGTGATGTCTCGCGGGGCATCCGTGTTGTGGCGTGGCGACGGCAGCAACAACGGTGGAACGACGACGGTGGGCAAGGAGGGGGAGGAGGCCAGGGAGAAGAGCGACGACGGAAAGGTCACCAACACCCGTAACGGGGCGGTCGAGGGCTCTCAGACCCAGTCCTGGTCGTTGTCCGCGGAGATCGTTCAACGGCCGCAGCAGCGGCAGCAGCAGAAGCAACGGGAGCGGTTGTCGACCCTTATCGGAATGCACCGCATCGTGTCAGATATCCGGACGGTGAGGAGGGCATGCAAGACCTACGCATTCCGCTTGAGGGTGTGGCGAACGGCGGCTTGGCGGCAAGGCGAGGTGAGGAACCGAACCTTGCTCCCCCACGATCAGGGAACAGGAGGGGTCATGTGCTGTGGAAGTCGAATGCACTGACTGCTGAAATGGTGTTGTTGGTGGCCCCTGCCAATACCTCCGAACTGTACAAAAGTATGGACTACTAGCATCATGTGGGAGATGGTGGCGAGGGAGATTGTAGCGAGATTGTTTTGGAAGATACCTCTCCTCCCCCCACCGCCCAGCGTGGACGGAACATACCCCGGTTGCTGAATGAAAACCACCCCGTTGCAACTCCTACAGCCAGTGCCCCCCATAATAACACGCCAACAAGCCACCACGGGATTCGACGTTGCCATCCGTACAAGAGTGAGCGAAATAGCTGTATAGCGGTAGAGCCCACCTCCCAAGTAGTCCATAGCTCGCCTATCGCTATTGCTGATAGCCCCTCCTCCACCTTCTGTCGTCGTTGTTACGCGCCCGGTGGCTGGGACGGGAGACTAGCTATCGTGCGGGTCCAAGCGGGTGTGGATGAATATCGATAGAGTCCAACGGCGAAGGTATGCTTCACGGAGGGTGAGCGAGTAGGACTCGCCCGTAAAGAATCTGCCTGACGATAGGCGATTGGAGAGACAGAACAACGACTTGTGGTGCGATTGTTGGGGTCATATTCGGGGAAGACTGCGGTTGGCGCGATGTTGTGTGTATGGATGTTGCACGATCGACACCATCAAGTGTTCATCTCCCGGTCGCCCGACAACTCACCACGCCCAAAGAAGGGAGCATGTGTTCGGTTGAGCAATGGTATAACATGAGGTGCGGGGTTAAGTCCGCCTGTTGCAACACGAAATCGTTTAAGAGAGTTCGGTTGCGTACCACGAGCGGAGAGTGTTTGAGCGTCCAGTTGAGCCGGTATGCAAGAAACTGCGCCGAGTCAATAGGCCCTCTAACTGATGGTAGGGGAGGCCCACATATGCTGTATACACCCGATAGGATTGGGGTGTGAAGCAGGGATATTTTTGGTTGATGGCATGGGAGAAGGATCAGATGGATATGCCCGCACTGTGGTAGGCTAGACTGTGCAGGGCAGATGCTGTTTGCGTTCATGATCAGGCGGATTGGGATGAGATGGAGAGGGATGGGAAGGAGGAGATTCTGGGATGTTTTCGGTTGATGGAATTGAACAGCATCGGATGCACGAGTCGGCGCTGTTTGGGCTAGACTAGGCTGCGCAGATGTCGCAAGCATGCATGATGAGGCTGGATGGGATGGGAAGGACTGGGATGGAATGGGACGGGATGGGAAGGGATGAGACGAGACGCCATGGGACGGGACTTGGAAAGACGCTTGGTAGGTATGATATTGATCGCAAACGGCTGGCCGCAAGTCATGCTTAATTTGGGTCCAATAGGACACCCCAGTATCGAATCTGTCTGACGATAAACGATAAGGAGAGGGCAATGGCTTATGTTTCGATAATTGGTGTGATTTGCGAGAGATGAAGTGTTTGACATATGTTGTGTGTGATTATCACCACCAACAATCGGTCGTGCTCGTTTCAACCTCCCCCGACAACTTGCCACACCGAAGGAGTTTTTGTTTTGGCAAGCCGCGTCGAGTCAATTGGTCCGCTATCTTGCAGTAGGGGTTGCCCACGTATGTGTATTCTGCCCCGTGGGATTGCTGGGGGCATTGTGGGTTGATGGCATGGGACAGATCAGATAATGAGTTCATGCTGTGTTCGGGTGGCTGGGGTAGGGCGATTGTCATAGGTAAACATAATGATGATGGATGGGGCGACGGATTTGGACAGAATGGAACGGGATGGGACGTAATGTAGGATGGGATGGGACGGGATGGGTAGGGATGGAACGGGATGGGACCGCATGTTGGACGGGATGGGATGGGATGGGACGAGGAAACACGCTGGGCAGATGTAAAGTTGGTCGATGGGAACACCCGGCATGACTGAAATGGGGGAAATCAGCAGAGAGCCGCTGGGGGGGCGCAGATGCACAAGGTAGGACAAGACATGACTAACATGGGGTATGATTATGGCACATATTTCTTGGAAAACGAATGGAGTAGGCGCAGAAAAAAGTATGGCTCGGAGAGTAACTACCATAGGTGGCTTTCCACATTGCCCTACTTTCGCTTCGCTCCCATCACCTGTTGACTGAATGAGAGTGTTGGCGTGCCCAATCTTGTAAAACCGTTTCAACACCAGTGGGTTTTCGGGCTTGGCATGTAATATTTCCGGTTCGAGAGCACACATTTGGCCCGTTTGTTAGCATTTTCCTCGTGGTGGGGTGTATTTGTGCCGACTTCTGGTCGAGAATGAGGCTATGATAGCCTTCTAGAGATTGGCTTGTCGATGAAACCCGTTGCTCGCGCGCGACCTTGCCGTAGCTCTAGCTGATATTGCTGCCGGACGCAGGACGCGCACCGTATTTTTTCGGTGTGAGGGCCGCCATTAGGAGCAATATTTCCCTGGCATTTGACAGCGTATGTCGTCTGCGGTGGGTTGATGATTCGCTTGGTCATGGCACGGGACATGGTGTGAGCCCTTGGGCACAAGTCATATCTCGAAAACGAAAGGAGTGGACAGCGAAAAACCTGCGAGTATTCTCAGGCCTCAATTCCGTTGTTGCGGTTTCGCGCCTCGTTGTCGTTTCTTTCTGTTGTATCGGCCTTTTGCCGTATGAAAGCAGTGTGACTACATGTATCGTTTGTTCGGAGGAGCAGTAAGAGATACGCTGCATAGTACAGACTGGCAGTGTGTCTGTCGCGGGGGCTGTACCAGTTCAAGATTGAAGGGAGTCGTCGTCTGGAGTAGTGGTGGGTTGACAACCCTTTCTTGACACCAGGTCCGTGAGTGTTGAGCGACTGGAAAGCTGCAATAAGGGTAGTCTATGTCGGAATAAATCCAAGCATGACTGAGCGGGCAAAGTGGGTGTTCGCGTGATGTCGTTATTCTTTTTCTGGAAGTCGGCGATTACCATTCCGAGAACGTCGACCATAACTCCAACCGGCTAACACACTGTCTTAAAGGTCGGACCAAATGCAGGATGTATGAGGTGTTCTCGTGCATGTGGTGGTGGCTCCATCGTTCGAGTCTTCGTGCAAGAATATATGTTTGTTACGAGCGGGGCCGGCATTGAACCTTGAACGGAAAGGGACGGTCGTATTTTGGATGTATCACAGGAAGTATTGCCGGAAACCGATCGGATGACCATCCCGTTTTCATGGCCTCCTAATCAAAGGGCTCCATGCACACACACCAGCTCTGCACATGATAATTGTGTGCTGACGTATGCAATATGTCGAACACCCTGTGGTTTATCTTGAAGGCCTTCTGGAGTCCCATCAATTAAACGATACCGACTTCACGGGGGTGATGATAGTTGCTAAACCCAGGCAGGTTGATGACAGATGCTAACCCACGCAATCCTTATCACCACAATATACCGGAGCTCTTGTCACGGGGGACGGAGACATTTCTGAAAACTAGAGCAACCGACAAGGGTTGTTTTAAGCTCGACATTGGGGAGGCAACCGCCTACGAATTTGACATTCGAAGCATTCTGATGTTGTCGGGGTCGTATAGGGTTCCGAAGAAAACTGCACTGACAAACTTGAAGACCCGTTGTAGCTCCGAACGGACTATCCATGCGTTCCGACTTCTATCCAGCATTTCACCATTCGCGAATATCCAGTATGTAGCAGCATGGTGTCCCATAAGGCCCGCCCCTGCATAGGTACACGATTACCGACCTACAGGTAGGCGATCTCATCACCACACGAAACCCTAAGGATGGGCCCCATCAGTGCGGTGATCGACACCGCTCTTCAAAGATTCCACACCATGAACGGTCTGGCCTTCTATCTGTCTGCGCCGAAGGCGTGAACATCCAAACAAGGACAGTAGAGGCTACCATCCGGATGAAAGAACCACGAAAAGTATCGTATACTGTCGGTGCCCGACGACACAGGCAACAAGCGCAACCAATACAAGCACTACAACCCGAGAGGACTCCTCGATTCGAAACAAAGGCTCACGAGGGGAAAAAAATTCAATCCATTCAGTTGGCGCAGGGCGGCCCTTTTCCCTTAACACATTATCGAATCAGCCAGTGAAGCAGGATTAGCCAACTTCAGGGCCGAACGGAGAAAACAACAACCTGCTGATCTACCGTACCTTACCAATGAAGCCTCTACACACATATGCAACGCATCTCTAGTCCTGTGAAAAAATCATCACCCTTGTGATCGACGCGCCGGAAATCGTTGTCTTCGTCATCCTAGGACGCCAATGACGACCCTTCAGTTCTGCAGCGAGTGCCCTGCACGGGAGAGGGTATCATCCAAATCGTAATGTCGTCCGAATGGCGTTTGTCACGGCAGGTATTTTTTTTTCCACAGTCCGCGCGAACGAGGGGAGCTGGCCGGAGGGCTCCCGACAATGAGTAGTGAAAATCACTGCCAAACAGAACATGCTGAAGGCCGGCCAAGATACGCCGGCTATGGTTTGACTGAACCGTTCACCAAACTCCAGGCGTTTTAGGGAAACTAGCCATACTACTCCAGCAACGGGCTGATTGAACTCATACCCTAGCGAAAGCTGTTGCAGAGACTCTGGCCACGTCACCCCGGCTATAGGTTGGTTGAAGGCGAACCCGAGGTACAATCTCTGCAGAGACGCCGGCCACCCTACACCGACAACGGGTTGGTTGAAGCGGTACCCGATATTCAACGAGAGTAGGGAGGCCGGCCACACCACACCGACCACGGGTTAGTCGAAGCGGTACCCGAAATGCAACGAGCGCAGGGAGGCCGGCCATACTACTTCGACAATGGGTTGATTGAAGGAGCCCGTGTACTTCAACACTGTCTGGGTGAAGGACTTCCATACAACATAGAAATGAAAGTAATATCCGCGCGAAAGATGTTGCAAAGACGCCGGCCACATCACACCGGCAAGAGATTAGTTGAACTACACCCCTAGCAATAGCTACCGGAGGGCGGGGGGCCAGACCGCAACAAGGATAGAACCCTGAAATCTGAGAAGCTCAAGGCGTTGAAGGGACGCGGGCCACAGC